TCGGCGGGAACAGTCAAATTCTGCAGCAGCTCCGATACAGACGCACGTTGAAAGTGGAACCTTTGCAGTCTGTAAACGTTTTGGATCATAGAATATGACAGTCTGTCTGCTGGGAGGGAATGAAGAACGACACAGAAGACTGTAATGCGAGCAGAATAAACTGACTCAGGGTAATGCAAAGATGCCTCTGGTCCTGGCCACCACACCACCAGTTATAAGGGAGAAATGTAGTGTTGATGTTGTGGGACCTCTGAATGTTAGCTAGAAGGGAAATCGATATAAACTAACAGAACAGGACGAACATAAAATAAGCAAACAAACAACTGTTAGTGGCATCAGGGAAACTAATTCATTTAATGAAAATGGTTTAAAATTGGTTTAAAGATGGTTTAGAAAACAAATCATGAAGTAGAGTATTTTACAAAAGCATACCAAGCAACACGACACTAGATGTTGGTTTCACAGGAGTTGAACTCTGCACTTAGCTACTGATCCAATGATCCGGTGGCCGTAGCTGGTCTGCGGCGAGCCGTGGTTGCGTCGTCCGAACACGGACATGAATACGGCCCCATAGATGATATCACGGACGTATTAAGAGTAGCTTCAAAGGGTAAAATGCTAGATATTTTAGAAAAGTTCCGTATATACAAAAGTAATAAACACAAATCCATCATTAACGAACAAAACGCCCAAAATTCTAACGTATTATTTGACCTGTGCGTTAAACAGGAGAAAATCAATTTTCAAAACCAACATCTAATGTCGTGTTGTTTGGTATGTTTTTGTAAAATAACTCCACTTCATAAAAATTAATTAATTTCCCTTTTGCCACTGATGATGACCTCTTGAGGTTGAAACGCGTTTGGCACTAGTGTCTTTTTTATAGTGTTAATAGTTGTTTGTTTACTTATTTTATGTTCTGATACACTACATTAAATTAGACTCTTTTCTACAGAAGCCTTGGGCCCACCCAAACACATTCGTTCATTACAAGCTTCTTCGTCTATATAAGAAAAGAAGCTAAGAGGAAAGAGACCACTCAGAAGACCAATGAGAAGATGAAAGGATAACATTAAACAGCATCATAAATAGTGTGTGAGGACGTTGACTAAATCCACGTGGCTCAGGATAGGGACAATGGCGGGTTATCTCGAACACGGATACGAAACGTCGTGTTCCATAAAATGCAGAAAATTATTTTTACTAGTTCGGCGCACTGTTAGATTCTCAAGGACTCTGCTCCATGAAGTTCGGATAAGGTAAAATTTACATGGGAATAAAACGAAACAGCTGACGGGCACCAAAATTCATGACGGCCTTATTTGTGGCAAGAAAAAATCATGACTTACCTCCTCCATTAGCTATTAATCTCTTATTTTGCAAGCCAAGGCCTACTTAAAAATTCCTTCCGCTTCGTCTTCTATCCGTTTTCCTTGCACGATTTCTCAGTTACGAGGTTTAAATGAGAAGCTTAATCATGATTAAAGGCAAAAGATTATTAATTTTTATACATGACAAAATTAATTGACACGATTAATCTTTTGTAATTAACTGCACGCGAGTATTTAAAGACGCATGAGCAGAAACGAGAATAACGCGTATAAAAACAAACGTTAAAAGCCTCGCAAAAGCAGTGGTTCGTACATTCGCAAAGAACGCCTGAGCACACGACGCACAGCGTCTTCTGTCAGTTCAAGCCGAAGGGCGGGAGACGCCAAAGGACGTCAGACAAAACGAAGGAACACTCTAAATCCGCGACGCTGATGATCATATAAACTGACTACATGGAACAGAAATCCTGAAACGCTAATGGTCGCTCATCTAGTCAAATATCCCTTCTATTATATGTAAAAACCCAAATTGTATTACAGTCTTAAAAAGAGACCGTCATTGGTCCCTGTCTTCAGCCAGATAAATCCAGTCCAGACCTTACTCCTGTAAGATCCATTTTAATATTATATTCATATCTGTGCCTACGTGTCCGAGTTACCTCGCCCCTTCAGGCTTCACACCAAAATGCTGTACAAATATCTCGTCAAGACCTAACCATTTTAGTAGCATTGACCTAAACGTCCTAATATAACTATTTTTAAGAGTAAAATCCTTCAAGTTCTTTATTGTTAATTTTTCTCTACTTATCTCCTGCCTTCCCTTGTTTTCTCCCTTTGGGTGATGACGTGTGACTTCGAATTCCCCTGCAAGAAGGGCATAACTCTCAAAGTTACAGAGCAATGCATTTTCGTGTTCGTAAGTCCGTGTGTCGAAACTCTGATTACGCTTGCGTCTTGTGAACAAACTTCGACGATGTTTGCAAATGTATAGGCCTCGTGTGCCTATTACACTTCCACGTTCTATCGATAGTTACAATCGATTGTGTATGCAAGTTTGTACGTTATATAAAACGACTTACAGAATGGAAGAAAGTATTTTGCTCAGACGCATTATTCAAACTGAAAGCAACAATGATCCTATTCTTGGAAATATAATGTGTACTACATTCTTAATACGTCTCCCAAATTAAGTTTTTTTTTCTGAAATACAGAAGGAAAATAGGTGAATCAACAATTTTTGCTTTCCTGCGCAGTTAAATTACCTGAGAAACTAAATCTGAATCACGAAGAAACACGAGATGGTTCGTCACTCAGGACTCTCTTAAAAACAGTGGAATTCGCAATTCCCATATTTACTCTTCACGACCACTTGAAATTGAACCAGCTATCTACCAAACTTCGCCGTCAGACAACGCTCGGTTAGCATAAAGTAAAGCAAGTTAGTAAATTTTGCTAAATTACCTCGAAAACCACGAGACTTGCGAAAAATGCAGAGCTACTAGGCAAACTGCTGTACATTCCAGTTGCGCGGGAGATGCGTAGAGAAAAAAGCAAGCAACCTGATATTATCGCCCGACCTTAACCACAACTGAATTCTAGGGACACGTTTTAATGAAACTGGCCAAATCTCACAATTGACAGAAAACTGACAGACAGACATTACAAAGCTGTTAGGCGCATTTGCAACTTTTCGTTAAGAACGTTCTAAAATAAATTCTTTTTGTTTGTGTGTCCCTCGACACTTAATTTAGCCAACTCATACAGACTTATCATAACATCGCATAAAACCTGCAATTGTACTCACCAAAATTATTTTCTCTCATTCATATTTCCACCAAATACAATTTAACTGGAAAACATGGCGACCAAATGGGTTTAGTAACGTAAATGGCTATTATCTGTCATTAGGCGATCTTTGAAGATACGAAACTGGTGTGAATAGAAATCGCATCACTGACTTACACTTGCCGGTTCAATTATATCGACTTGGAAAATAGGGCGTGTGACGGGGGTAAGGCGGACGGATCATTTTGTTTTCTCTGAAATCTAAACTTCTCTATATTTTTACTAGGGAAGTTTTAAAGAACAGTTTATTCGTGAAAGAAAGCTTGACTTTAGCACTTCTATCTCAGTAACTGGTTTTCTTGAAAAGAATTCGTTACACGTGACAGGCTCTTAGTAAGTAATGTGCAGTCCTTCATCGCCTACTGCAGGTGTGTAAAGTACGTCCTTCGTAAGGAAATTAATTTGGGTAATGCTTTTATGCTATAAAATCATAAACTTAGCGATTAATTGTAATGCAGATGATAAAGTACACACAAACAAAAATTTAAGAGTGTAGTTAACCCTCCTTACGTCTCCTCGTGGTTTGCTTCGTCTCGGGACGCCAATATAAGATCGGTTGAAAATCAGTAAGTTTAAAAAATCATCTTCCGATTCCCACAGATGAACAAGTGAGTTCCAGACAATTAAAATGTCACAGCTGTTAAAAAGGCGATCAGGTTCAATGCATTTACACAAAGGCATTCCAGAAAAATTTAAGTTTTAATAAAATATTCACCTTACACAAGCATCAAAATCTCGGTTTTTAAACAAGTGACTTGTGATTTCATAACATTACAAACAATAATCTTTTTCAAGGGTCGCTGCTAATGTAAACAAGTACGTATTGTTACAACACGCTTTGGCTACAATGGCCGTCCTCAGGTAATAGTGAAATGACAGCATGACGTACAGATGTAACGGCTGAATAATCAATATGCAACATTTTTACTTTATTCACAGTGACAACGATTATAGCTTGTGTGGCAGCACCGTTAATTAAATAAGCAAATAACTTCATCACCTGGAGCTGAGTCTGTTGCCAAACTAAATTTATAGTAAACAAACAAATAATATCTCAAAGTCTCGTCATTAAAGTACTTAATATACTGAACAAATACACAAAAATAAATAGAATTCTACAACGTCCAACCCAGACGTTTTCGGCTGTACTGAATTTTTCACAGATTGTTAAATTCGCTACAAATAAATTACTGTACTCTATGAACGAAATTATTCGCCTTGTTAACTTCAAAGTTTATTCTGATCATTGTTTTAGTAATTGTATTTCCCCGTAAGTTAAAATTAATTTTGTTTCCTTAAACTCAGCTCACTTCCTTGTACACATCTTCATATCATGTCAATTCAAAGCAAACACTTACCCATTATCGAAAGCACGGGAAACTTTAATTTATTCTTGATAAGCAGAAAACTAAAACCCAATACTTATATGAAAATTACAATAATTCTCACGTATCATATTAGCCAAATACACAAATGCTAATATCGCATACATCAAGTTAAAAAGCAGATAAGAATAAGCACAAGATATTTGTCTTTTATCTTTTATTACGCTTAGTCCAGCTTAGGTCGTTGCAAATAAGCCGTCCTAACCAGAGGCCACGCGCAACATTTCGGAGCAATTAATTATTCTCACGGTCAGCAACTGTCAACCCCACGCCAAACCAACAAAAAACGAGAATCACCCCACGTCGGCTGTCCGCAAATGCTTATTCGAAACACTCTGTATCTGGAGGACCTTAACAAGCTATTAGGAATGTCATAGTCCATCGTACGAAACTGGTGTGAATAGAAATCGCATCACTGACTTACACTTGCCGGTTCAATTATATCGACTTGGAAAATAGGGCGTGTGACGGGGGTAAGGCGGACGGATCATTTTGTTTTCTCTGAAATCTAAACTTCTCTATATTTTTACTAGGGAAGTTTTAAAGAACAGTTTATTCGTGAAAGAAAGCTTGACTTTAGCACTTCTATCTCAGTAACTGGTTTTCTTGAAAAGAATTCGTTACACGTGACAGGCTCTTAGTAAGTAATGTGCAGTCCTTCATCGCCTACTGCAGGTGTGTAAAGTACGTCCTTCGTAAGGAAATTAATTTGGGTAATGCTTTTATGCTATAAAATCATAAACTTAGCGATTAATTGTAATGCAGATGATAAAGTACACACAAACAAAAATTTAAGAGTGTAGTTAGCCCTCCTTACGTCTCCTCGTGGTTTGCTTCGTCTCGGGACGCCAATATAAGATCGGTTGGAAATCAGTAAGTTTAAAAAATCATCTTCCGATTCCCACAGATGAACAAGTGAGTTCCAGACAATTAAAATGTCACAGCTGTTAAAAAGGCGATCAGGTTCAATGCATTTACACAAAGGTATTCCAGAAAAATTTAAGTTTTAATAAAAAATTCGCCTTACACAAGCATCAAAATCTCGGTTTTTAAACAAGTGACTTGTGATTTCATCACATTACAAACAATAATCTTTTCAAGGGTCGCTGCTAATGTAAACAAGTACGTATTGTTACAACACGCTTTGGCTACAATGGCCGTCCTCAGGTAATAGTGAAATGACAGCATGACGTACAGATGTAACGGCTGAATAATCAATATGCAACATTTTTACTTTATTCACAGTGACAACGATTATAGCTTGTGTGGCAGCACCGTTAATTAAATAAGCAAATAACTTCATTACCTGGAGCTGAGTCTGTTGCCAAACTAAATTTATAGTAAACAAACAAATAATATCTCAAAGTCTCGTCATTAAAGTACTTAATATACTGAACAAATACACAAAAATAAATAGAATTCTACAACGTCCAACCCAGACGTTTTCGGCTGTACTGAATTTTTCACAGATTGTTAAATTCGCTACAAATAAATTACTGTACTCTATGAACGAAATTATTCGCCTTGTTAACTTCAAAGTTTATTCTGATCATTGTTTTAGTAATTGTATTTCCCCGTAAGTTAAAATTAATTTTGTTTCCTTAAACTCAGCTCACTTCCTTGTACACATCTTCATATCATGTCAATTCAAAGCAAACACTTACCCATTATCGAAAGCACGGGAAACTTTAATTTATTCTTGATAAGCAGAAAACTAAAACCCAATACTTATATGAAAATTACAATAATTCTCACGTATCATATTAGCCAAAATACAGAAATGCTAATATCGCATACATCAAGTTAAAAAGCAGATAAGAATAAGCACAAGATATTTGTCTTTTATCTTTTATTACGCTTAGTCCAGCTTAGGTCGTTGCAAATAAGCCGTCCTAACCAGAGGCCACGCGCAACATTTCGGAGCAATTAATTATTCTCACGGTCAGCAACTGTCAACCCCACGCCAAACCAACAAAAAACGAGAATCACCCCACGTCGGCTGTCCGCAAATGCTTATTCGAAACACTCTGTATCTGGAGGACCTTAACAAGCTATTAGGAATGTCATAGTCCATCGTGAACCTGATTTTGTGTGAACTACGGGGCAAACTTCCCTCCCCCTCTGCTGCCAGTCTGTTTCTGGGGCCCACCTAGCCTGGTATCCCCTGACCACCGAGGGTCAAGCAGGCCGAAGCGTGAAGAAGAAGCTTGAGCACAGGAACAATTAACACATCAACGAATTATCTGAGGCAGAAACGGAGTCAACTCCAGAAAATTCTCTAACTTAACGAAAGTAAAAACACGAAGTACTCAAGACAAAGCTAACAATTTATCAAAGCAATTTTCTCTTCGAATCTTGTACAACGAGACAATTCCCACCTTGTCGAAGGCAAATTCGTTATCAGTTCCTCAAAACCATTTACACATTCACCCTGTCCAATTCACAATTCATAACAAACTTAACATCCGCCATTTGAAGTCGCCTGTGAGATTAATGAAACTCTGTGGCGCCATAATCTAAAAAAATTTCGATCCAATTCTCTTCCCTCTGAAAACACGCCCAAAATATCCGTTTCATACAATCGCAGTAGACTAACGCGTTGGCATCGGCTATCCCCAGGTTCCTGGTTCTTCTCAGTTACTTTAAAGCAAGCACAGAATGTACTCCCGCGATCCATCATTCATAACCATCCTGTCATATTTAAATAATGGATACCCAACATTATCAGTTGATAGAGTGTTGAAGGAACAAGAAAAAACACTACCTTATAAGTCATGGTGAACGCCTTCTAACAGGTTTACCCATCAAACTACGTGTATCTCTGCCCTCGTGGCAAATTTCCGAAAATACCTCAAAACAGTGAAGGAGGCTGTGGGGGTCAAATTACGTAAGTCCGCCCTCTGCAAGGTCACGTCGTCTCAGCTATTGAGCCCGTACTCCAGCCTCTGGCCTCATGGCCCGACCCCTTTCTTACCTTTATTTCCCACGTGGCAGCCTTATCTCAGCCTTGACCAGCGGCTGGCCTCGGGCTTCAAGGCTCTGACATGACCCCAGAGAAAAAGGCCTCCTCACAGCCTAATCATACTCGATTTTGCATGCATACGAGTTCACGCTTCAGATGAAAAACCAATTGTCTAGTGCTTTAAAAACATTCGTGGGTACAAGAACTTATCAAAGGGGCACATTTTCATACACCTTTTATTCTTATCCACCAAACTACGTGCTTTATTCAGCCGCCGGTCGAATGCGGTAAATTATATTA